TGTAAAATGCTGTAAAACAATACTGGTATATTGTAACCTTTTGTAATATACATTTTGTACAATAATTTAACAATAAATAATGGTTTTTTTCATGAACAATGGTTATTTTGCAATGAATATGAATTTGGTGTGTAAGGGAGAAGTAAATAGACTGTAAAATGCTGTAAAACAATACTGGTATATTGTAACCTTTTGTAATATACATTTTAAACAATAATTTTACAATAAATAATCGATTTATTAACAAATAATTGCATTTCTTTAATTTTCCTGATGTTCAGTCCTTTCCTTGATTTCTAGGGTGTCCTGGAAGGTCCATCTGTAATTCATACGCAAAGAACATTAATTTTTCTAATTGTTAATAGAAGTTATAAACAATTTCCGACTAATTCATTGAATGCAATGGTTAATTCAAAGGAAAATTAATGTATCGAGCTGTTTTATCAAGTTACAGCGTCGATAATATTATTTAAGTCTTACAATAATCATAAATAATTCTCTAAATTGTTATTTAACAAGAAACACTACTTATTCTATAATTAAAGGACTGGAAAGTAAAGCAGAAACTTTATTTTATATTATAAGTATCAATTAAATATAATAGGGCTGACGAGGATAGCATTAGAGATACGAGTTAGACAAAGAAACAGATAGCGGTAGACGAGGATAACATTTGATAAACGAGTTAGACAAGGAAAGGTATGTGGTTAAACAAGGACAGAAAATATTTAAATCGAAACTAGCACCATCTCGCGTTTAGAGACAGGAACTACGATTTCTTAATAGGAACACAGGATATAAACAGAGGTATTAGACAAGGAAAGCACTATTGTGCGACAAGGACAGAGAGAAAACGCTTCCTATTGGCTGGCGGGCCGCCATGCTCCACCCCACAGAGCCTCCGCCACGTGGTCCGATGATAAATCATTAGTAACTCAATAATTACGATGATTTTGTAAACTTTTAGAATTGAAGAATGAAGAGTGGACCTTTAGCTACTTTCACATATAGATTTTAGTACAATAGACCCTTTCAATAATTAGTTATTAATAATTTTAGGATAGGTTGTCGGGAACGATGCTTTTTACTTTTATACACGTTTACGGTTTTTTAATAATTTCATAGCCTTCTACTAAATTTGCATGCAACTAACTATACGTGTCTGAAAGGTAATTCATTTGGCTATATTCTCACATACCTTTTATTAAAATATTCGATTTAGTTTAAGAGTTATTAAACATTGTTTGGGACAGTTTTACACTCGTCGCGTTCAAGCGTAATAGTTTTCCGTCATTTTCATTAATAACTCAATAATTAAGATGGTTTTGTTAACTTTTAGGATTGAAGAATGTAGCGAGGACTTTTAGATACTTTCACAGATAGTTTTTAATGCACTAGATTCTTTGAATAATTAATTATTACCAATTTTAAGTCGGGTTGTCGGTAAATTTAGTACGGGATACCGCACGTCCGTTTCGTTTTTTATTAATTTTGTAACTTTCCACACCGAACTTATGTACTTTCAGATATGCGTTCGAAAGGTCGTTCATTTAGCTACTTTCTCATATAGATTTTAATGTACCAGACCTTTGTAATAATTAGTTATTAACAATTCTTTCGCGGAGTGTCCAGAGAGTACAACACTGTCTTAAGGTTTTTCATTGCTTTCGCACTTTTACTCACATAATTTATACACTTTAAGATATTCGTTGGAAAGCCTGTTTCTTTAGCTAGCTTCCCCTATCACTTTCATTGACATAGCTGCTCTAATTTACGAGTTATTAAACATTATATGGGAGAGTCCACAGCTCGTCGTATCCGAGTAAGCTCAACTATTATAAATAATTGCTAATATCTAATAAACCGCATCAGATACACGTATAAAAATTATTGTAGAATGTAGTAAAAGGTCTGTACTACGTTCTACATGCTTAAAAGTACACAATTAATCATGCTTGTTCATGAAACTAACGAAAATGTGTTACGCTTGAATACGACGGTATAATACTCTCCCAAATAACGTTTAATAACTCTTAAACTATACTGAATATGTTAATAAAAATTATATGAGAATATAGCCAAAGGAGTCACCTTTCAAACGCGTATAGTTAGTTGCATGGGAATTTAGTAAAAAGCTATGAAATTATTGATAAACCGTAAACGTATATAAACGTAAAAAACATCGTTCCTGACAACCTCTCCTAAAATTATTAATAACTAATTATTGAAAGGGTCTATTGCACTAAAAACTATATGTGAAAGTAGCTAAAGGTCCACGCTACATTCTTCAATCCTAAAAGTTCACAAAACCTTCTTAATTATTGAGTTATTAATGAAAATGACGGAAAACTATTACGCTGGAATATGACGGGTGTAATACTCTCCCAAAGAATGTTTAATAACTCTTAAACTAAACCGAATATATTAATAAAAGTTACACGAGAATGTAGCCAAAGAAGTCACCTTTCAGCCGCGTATAGTTAGTGGCATGAGAATTCAGTAGAAAGCTATGAAATTATTGAAAAACCGTAAACGTATATAAACGTAAAAAGCATCGTTCCCAACAATCTCTCCTAAAATTATTAATACCTAATTATTGAAAGGGTCTTTTGCACTAAAAACTATATGTGAAAATTGCTGAAGGTCCGCACTTCATTCTTCAATTCTAAAAGTTCACAAAATCATCGTAATTATTGAGTTATTGACGATTTTTCACCGGACCACGTGGCTGAGGCTCTGGGAAGAGGAGCATGGCGGCTCGCCAGCCAATAGGAAGCGTTTTCTCTCTGTCCTTGTCGCAAACTAGTGCTTTCCTTGTCTAATACCTCTGTTTATATCCTGTGTTCCTATTAAGAAATCGTAGTACCCGTCACTAAACGCGAGATGGCGTTAGTTTCGATTTAAATATTTTCTGTCCTTGTCTAACTCATTGCTCTAGTGCTATCCTTATCAACCACTGTTTCTTTCCTTATTTAACCCGTTTTTCTACTGCTATCCTTGTCTGCCGTTATTCTCTTCCTCGTTACAGCTTTAATTGGTGCATATAATCAATTTTGAACTGCTTTGACATTAAAAATTTATTATAAAAATGAATTTTACCGTTCCTGTTGTACGTTATTGTTAATTCAACGTGAAATTAACAAATTAAGCTATTCTATTAAATTAAAGCATACTTCCATCTATATTGTTATTTAACAGGAAACATTAATTATTGCCTAATTAAAGTACTTGAAAATAAACCAGAAACTTTATCTTGCTATCTACATTATCGACAATGTTAAAGCAATTAAAAACGTATCACAAGTATCTATTTCAAATTGCTTACTACACGTAATCATGTTCGAATTTGCAATAACTCTTATCAAAAGTGAAAAATTCAAAGAATTTCTTTTTGAACAATTACTTACCTTCATTCTTGACGATGCTCCCAATGATTCTCTCTCGATCCTTCAGCTTCGAAGGCTGGCGGCAGACCGAGCAGAAGATTCCCTCTGGTTTCCCGTCGAACTCCCAGATTAACTCTTTCTCAACGAAAAACTGTGCGATTTCTAAAGTTCCTTCCGTTGAAATTCCATTCGATTCAAGGTGTCAAGGCGTATCCTGTAGCCGGATTTATGGCAGCGAGTCAAGTGGTCGCCGTCGCAGGCAAATATCGCTTTCTCAAAAACACCGCAAGTGTTTGTTGCGTTGCCTGCGACACTTAGCCCCAAGGACCAGCCCCTGCCATAAATCCTCGAGTCTCCGAAGGGAAAAATAGAAAAGTGGCCCGCGACTTTTGCCAACGTCGATGGGCCACTTGACTTTAACAAAGCCTAGAAAAGCGGAGATTCCACAGGATTCCCACGCATCCGTCCACCGAACACTTTCTCCGGTCGTTGTCTATTCCACCCTAAGATAACGCGCTAAGGGCGAAATGGAGGGAGGTTGCGATGCACCGGAGTAGACCGATTGGTGATTTAGAAAAGGAAAAGTCACCAATCAGGGTGTTTTTGGGAAAATAGGAGTCTTCTTCGAGGGAAACCACAGAGACTCCAGCAGAAACACTTGGCCACTCGCAAGAGAAACACCTCTCATTTCGCAGTAGAATTTATATCTTGAATTAGTTGTAGAAAATAGAACATAAAATAAAAACTTAGTGTTTCAATCAAGAAACTGGTCCTTGGAGTACTTACAACAGGCACGAGAACTCTGATTCGTGTGAAAGTCGTCGCGTTTCAAGCGAATCTTTCAAAATTCAATATTTAACAACTCCAACCTTTTACTTGCAGACAGTTCAACTGATTTCCCCAAATTCACGCCGGCAAACACACACAGAATGTACGCATCAAGAAATCCACACGGTGTCTGTTGAAGAAAGGAGAGAAGAAGAAAGCGAAGAAACGCGAGATAAAAGGAAAAACCGTCGTATTCTCTTTTATGTAATGAATCGTTCACACTGTTACATTATTTACAATTGGCAGACGGAAGTGGCATTTTTCAAGCAGTTTGCAATTGGTCCAAGGGTTCGCTCTTTATTCCTCGTTCAATCGTCGTTTTAACATCGTTAGCCTTTTTCACAAGTATGCGCACCGATTAGGTCAATAACATTCACCGGTCTCTCCGTCGTACTCGCATTCTTCACCCTTTCCGTTTATTCGTCGTCGCAGTGGATCCAAGAGAAAAGAAGAAGAAGAAGGGCCACGCGGATAATCGACAATCGTCGCACACCCGCGAACATTTAATTCACACGTGGACCAAACAAGGTGATATCACTCGAGAGACACAGAACAAGACCACTGTCAATTACTATAGTCGACGGTGAGAAGTCGCAGTTGTACAATTATGAAAAGAAGAGAAAATAAGCGGCAGATTTGTTCGTCGGTCGAATTTTGTCTAGCAACATTCCATGAACAGCAGCAAATACATAACAGTGCATATACACATGCGTGGTGTCGTTATCAAATTTTACGTCACCCTGAAAACGCAGCAAAAAAGAGAAGAAGAAGAAATAGTTAATGCAAAGTGAACGGAATACAACATTATATATGTATATATATATATATACATACATGTCTCTCTCTATCGTTACAAAGCAAATACAGTAATATCATTAGCAAACGTATCACGAATAATAATAATAATAATAATAATACGTGTAGCTTATACAGTAAACAATGATAATTCGCCTTTGGAATAATAAACTTAGCCCGCAAACTGTCGTTTCTTTTTGATTTTTTTTTTTTTCAATTTTTTTCGTTTCGGTATCTTTCTTACGCAAAATCACGCTCTCGCAGCTCCTCGTTTCTCAAGAACTCGTTCGCGCCGTTATCTCAAATGTTGACAGAGGTCTGAGAATCTCCAATGGGAAAATCGATGGATTTGGTCCACGTTTAAGCAATCATACCACGCGCTCACGGAATTCACGGACAACTTGAACCCTAAATATGCATATAATGTGTAATATCCACGGTGCAAATTATACCTTCGTTTCGTCGTCGAAGCGACAAAGAAGAAACGAGCAAAAATTGACGAAAAAAAGTACAGAGACATTGTGACACAGAGAGGTTTCACCTCGTAGAATCGTCGTGCTATTTATTGGTACCCAGGTTGTTCGTTCCGGACGAACAACCGTCATTTAGTAATCTTACGTAAAGCGAGTCGGATCAACAACAACAAGAACGCACATTCGCGCAGCAACAATCCATAAATCTCTCTCTCTCTCTCTCTCTCTCTCTCTCTTTCATTCTCTTAAACTCTTTCGTTCGTTCATTTCCCGGTTATCTTATCTATCACACGAGTTTTCACGCCTGCTTCGGATGTGGCGCGGGCGCGGTTGGCTCCGACCGGAAACACGACAACAGGAAACCGGTGTACATGGCGAACAATACGGTGATCGCGATCAGCATGTACATGTAGATGTTCAGCTCCGGTTGGCGGTACCTGTTCTTGCGCAGCCATTCCAGCACGTCTTGCTCTTTGTGCAAATCGCCTGTCGAGTGAAGAAGAGGAAATTAGACGGAAAGAATTGTGATTGAAACTGACAAATTGCTGAATGTTGATCGAACGATCGACGAAAGAATTATCACCTCGGTAGATGCTAGGGAATCTTTTACGAAAGTAGACGATCGCCGGAAGCTTAGTGACGCCCCATTTTCTAGCGTATCTCGGATCAGCCATCTTTACGAACGTGATGTCCAACTGGTCCGTTTCTCCGTCGATATTCTCCAGTTTCTCGTTCACTTCCTCGCTCTCTTTGCTGTTGTGCTCGTCTGAGGAATACGAGATTGTTGTAATTTAAGTATATAGAGTGGAATATTTATTGAAAGTTAAACAGTCGTCGGAGAATGTTCAGAAAATATTAAGATCGGAAAAGTATAACGAGCATAAAAGTAGCGTACTGTAACTGTATTGCAAACTATTAAAAGTGGATAAGTTTCAAACGAACTCCAAGTTCGATGCTAAAACTTGCTAATGAATTTTCGGTACCGATATTGGCGAAGAAATTTCGCAGAAGGCACTCACAGAAGAAGACAGCCAGGAATTCGTTCTCGTCCAGCAATTTATCCAGCATCTTCTTGTTCACTTCTTCGATCTCGTTCTTAATCTCGAAGACGTCTTGAGAGGTGAGCCACTGTAGAATCTTGTCCTCCTGAGTAAGATCGCCGTCGTAAATCAAAGGAGTCTTCTTACGGAAGTAGATCAAAGATGGAACATTCAGAATTCCGTATTTCTCTCCGCTCTCCGGATTCAGAACTTTCACGAAATCGATACCGAACAAGTCCGCCTCGCCGTCGATCTTCTCCAAAGCCTCCATAATCTCGTCGCATTCGGGACAGTCCTCGTCGTCTAATTTAATCATCGTAACTTAATCATTTCCCTCCTAACGAGACCACCTTCCCGTCCAATATTTCTCCAACTTACAGAAGAACACAGCCAAGAACGGAGATTCGTCGAGAAGTCTTTCCAGCATCCTCTCGTTCACCGATTCAATCTCGTCCGCCAGTTCCCGATTGTCGTCGTCGATCAGCCACTCGAGGACCGATTCTTCGTTTTGCAAATCGCCTGTTCCAGTAGGATTACAAAATTCGTAGAAGTTCAAGTTCGATCGACACTTAACCCTTTCGTTACTATTCGCTTCGCTTTTCAAACTATCCGATACTATTCGTTTCAGTTCGTTGGAGCTTAACGGACCGACCTTTAAATAGACACGACCGAGATAAGAAATTTTGCAGCCGCGATTAAAAATTTACGGATTCAAATCTGCCTTGGCGAAAGGGTTAAACGAAATGGCAAAAGGAACATAAACTATAGAAACCTTCGAACAAAAGAGGATTGCCATTTCTGAAGTAGACTAAAGCAGGGAACGTCTTGATGGAGTATCGCTTGGCCAACTGAGGATCCTGAATTTTCACCAGGTGAATACCGAACACGTCGCACTCGTCGTCGATCTTCTCCAATCCCTCCAATATTTCATCGCATATATGGCAATTTTGCTTATCTACCGTGTAAAAATGTCGTTTTTCATTTGGAACTCGCTAAAAAAAAGGGGCGATCTACAAGGAGAGACTGTTGCGTCTTACAGAAATACACTGCGAGGTACTGAGTCTCTTCGACAGAATTCTCCAACATCACTCTGGTAATCAATTCTATCCGATCCTCCGTTTTCTGAGTGATCAACCATTGCAAAACCTCTTCTTCCACTTTCAATTCACCTACAAAATAATATCCCAACGAATTTACGTATCTGAGAAAGAGAAATGCAACATCGAATCAACCGAAGGAAGACGAACCTTCGAACACGTTTGGTATCTGATTCTCGAAATAGACCAACACTGGAAAGTCTGTCACTCCATAATCCTCAGCCACTTTGTAATCCTGCGAAACCATCGAGATCTCTCGATCTTTATTTTCCCTAAATCGTCAATCTCTTCGATAACAGTCACGCATTTCTATACCTGTGTCTTCACGAACGTAATACCGTGCCTGTCGCAATCGTCGTCGATGTTCTCCAGTTCCTCGAGGATCCCTATGCATTGCTCGCAGTCTTCGGCATCTAAAGAGAAACTACAACGTTATAAAATTCACGAATACGTCGGAAAATGCATCTACACGATGTACAGCGTTCTATAATGACCATGTTGACGAATTCAGGCGATGATACGAATGATCTAAGAAAGCAATCTGTCGTTCTTGTCTACGAAAATCGGGCGTAGGAGCTAGCTCTACCGGAAAAAAATGTACAAATATCGTCACGAGTATACATTCTGTGCTTGCAGAGCTTGCGGACGTGTACCACTACTGTCTATCGAAACACGAACAAAAGGAAAAAGGCGTTGGCATGCTTTTATCAGCGGGGTGATGTTTACTATAGGATCGCTATCGTGGTTTTCTGCCGCCTGGTTCTATAATCGTGCAGGCACACCTGTGTCAACGGTGTAAATGTATACAGATGAAGTGCTGAGAGAAAAAATTGTCGAAAAACGAGGCGATCTTTCGGACAAAAAGTGGGAAATTCAAAAATTCCACGAGTGAAAAACACGAGGGAAATCTCGCGTGAATTGCAAAAAAGTATCTTCTGGGAGCTTTTCACCTGTGACAAAAGAAAAAAGGAAAAACGTCTCTAGCTTGAGAAAGAGAGACGTCGATTTTTTGGAAAAAAATTTGAGAAATCAGGCAGTTTCGCCTTCGGAGAGAAAAATAAAAGCGATGTGTGTGTGTGTGTGAAGGTGAATTATGCTGAGTGTTCTAGGTGTGCACACGGAAGATGAACACTATCTGGAACATAATTTCTAAATCGGTGATGAGAACAAAAACACCGGGTCGGCAATCTCAATGTTCATTTCTTTTCTGTGTTCACGTGTACCATCGAGTTCCTCGGCTGCCTCGTGTTCGACGATCCTGCGCTCCCTGTGGCGGGTCTGCTTGCGTTGATATTTTGCCTGACACAAGTCACAAAGCGTTCTGTTCCCTGTGGCATTAGCAGACAACGTGTACAGCGGCATGGACGAAAGACAGATAAAAGAGAGAAGAGAGAGAGAGAGAGAGAGATGGTCAAAGTAACGATCGTGAAGGAAACGTGTACTCAAACGAAAAAATACAAGAACAAAGGACGACGGACACAACTTAGAGTAAAAGAAACCTGGTTAATCGTTTTGCGGCACATTAAGCGCAATCGCAGACAAAAAGGCGAGACAAAAGTTCGCGAGAGAAAACGGTATGCACATAGATAGTTTAGTTTAGTCCCGAGTCGCGTTTCATTCTTTTTCTTTTTTTATATTTTCGGTTTTTGCTT